TGGACAGCATGGCATGGCATGGGCTGTGAAAACTTGAGGAGAGCTGGCTTAGCTTAGCTATAATCAAATCCAATAAAAACTATGGATCTGTCTTCAAACGAGGTCCATGACTCAACGCCATGGGCCGCCGCCGCCGCCCATGTCTGTTTCTTTCCCCTTGCAAGTTATAACTAGAGGACTTCTCCTTTTCTTGTCTTTCTGCAATCGCTCAAATTCAAATTTACAAAGCTCACTCCCTCACCATGCCAATACATTCAAGAAACTCAAAAGATCTGGCTGAAAAAATTCACAATGATTTCCTTTCCCCACAAAAACAGAACCCCGCTGAAAAAAGATCCCTAGTTTGTGGCATTTCCCACTCTGGCTCTGGCTCTAGGTCCGCAAAATTCCCAGTCTTTCGTAACAATGTGGTCGGTGTCCGTGACGTTTCGACTCCAAGGCGATCTTTGTTGCAGGACCCAAATACAAACCAAATTTTCAACAACAAGACTAGTAATTGCAAGTCTGATGATGAGGGGCTTTCGTCTTCGAATAAAGTAAAAGACTAAAAGGTGAAGTGGAAACCAGTAAGAGGAGGGGTGTTATTATTGGACTTGAAGCATCCAAAGCAAGAGTGAGTGCTGTTGGTATTGTGAAACCAAGAAACTAGAGATTGCCACTGCTGATGATAATAACCATAGGAAGAGAAAGAGAGCAGAGGGAGCTAATAAACGCGCTATTGAAGGGTGGACAAGGGATCAGGAAATGGCTTTGCAAAGAGCTTTATTTACAGCCAAGCCTACCCCTAATTTCTGGAGGAAGGTTTCTAAGCTGGTAATTTTCTTTTCTTTTCTCTTTTGCTATTTTCTGCTTCTGTTGATATTATTTTATCCCTTCCTTTACTGTGTTTAATCATATGTTATCATTGTTTCCTTAAAAAATACAATTTGAATTGCAAGATGGTTACTTTAGATGGGATGGTATTATGTATATTATGCATATTGAGGATGCTTTGGCGCTAGCATAACTTGGAAGCTTAGGTTTCTAGAAAACCGTAGCATGAAAAAAAAAAAGTGCAAATTTTTCTCTTGAGGTTTCCTGTGAAAGAACTCTTGCAATTTTGAGCTCAAATTACTGTCATTCTAGGCAGTGAGAGTATAGTTTCATGCTTCAATCTTCACGTACTTTTTTATTTCATACATCAATCACAATATCCATGGGATTAAAATGATGATGGCATGTGCTTCAATCTATTCTTAACAGCCTATTGAAAAGAGATTGATTTATGATTCAAAGTAGGAAAACCAGAGACAAACCATTGTAGAGAAAATGAATTTGTATGTTTTCTGTGTTATGACATTACATTTCATTATGCTAATGTATTGATTCTGTTATTGCAAAAAAGAAGTGCAGGTATTGGTGATTTACCTGGCTTGGATTTAAACAATTTCATGGTTTAATCTTTATTCTTATATTTCTCACTCTACTTTAGCTATCAAAATTAAATCAATTTTGGATAGAAATCTTTCTGACTTTGTTGCCACTAGCTGAACTATATGGCTATCAGCAAAAATTTCAGAACTCTGTTCCCTTGTATATTTCCTTTTGGTAAGCTCCACTGCCTCTATGGTACCAATCGGCAGCATCTGCTATTGCCCATATGAGCTTAGACTAGCTGAAAATTCTCCAAGTGATCAGTACTGAAGAGCTTCATTTGAGAAATTTCGAGACTGGGTCATTTGTTTTCTTCTTTCTTTTGTTCAAAATAATATGTAGTCGCATAAATAATTTCTAGAATTTTTTTTTCTGAACTCAATGAATAAACTGTGGCTATTTAGTATACTTTCACAATTAATAAAATCTTTAACTCGTGTCATGCTGCATAGCCAATCATAATATCAACAGCTGATTTCAGAGCTTTGGATCAGCTTTTCTGCACACCGTTACCTTTTGTATAATCACACAAGTGAAAATTAAAGAATGACATTCTTTCACTGCAAGAATTAGTCAGTATTCAATTGTTATAAAGCACAGTGATGCATTCGTTGCTTGCAATATTTGTTAATATAATTTTCAGATATTGCGTGTAGTTGACGATCTGTAAAATATTTTTTGTCTTCATACACCATCTGGAGTCAGATAGCCTATTTCTCTGACTCCACATGATTGCATTTACCACTTTAAAAGTGAAGGTCAGTGTATCCAAATACGGGCAGCTATGTTGTTTGTTTTATCAGCTGGCAGAATGTGCCCCCTAGCAATGCCCAGGCACTGTCGTTGGTTGTTCCTAAAGGTTAATTGTGGGCTTTCTTATATCCCATGTCAAAGGGTAGTCTCGTCTTCTATTGAATTGGGAGTGGTAATTTTGTGTCCTTTTATATGTGGAAGGCAGTTTCTATCTATAACCTTCTCTTAAAGAGCACCAACTGTGAGCTTTATATTAACATGTGCATGAAATTAATTGCAGGTTCCTGGAAAGTCTGCACAGGATTGTTTTGACAAAGTTAACTCTGACCACATGACTCTACCCCAAACCTTCCCGCGATCAAGGGCTAAGAGAATAAACTCATCAACGCTTGAATGTTTTTCAATCTCTGTTAGTAAACTGCTTAATAATCCCTCTGGCCCAAAGAATAAAAGATTGAGTTGTAAGCAGAAGAGTCATCTTGCACATAAAAATGTTAGAGAGTTATTGCAAAAGCAGAATCAAGTGAACCGAGATTATGAAGCAGACTTGTTCTCCATTCTTGAACCCAACCAGAATTCATCTATGCAAGATTCTAAGCTGGCTGTTGAAATTTCAACCCCTGAGCATTCACAAGAAAAACTGGGTTTTCTTCACAAACTCCATGAGAGTTCTTCTGACCATAAAAGGCCCCTTGTGAGATTGAGTTCATGTGGGATAGATATTGTAAGTCCCCCAGTACTGAAGCAGGTGAAAAACAAGGCTTTACATGAGAAATATATTGACCAATTACACTGCAGAGAAGCTAAGAGAAAAGCAGCACATGCACGTGCAGGAAAATCTGTTGCAGGAAAAGAGAATAGGGGAGAGATCAATGAAAATAGATGTGGTTAGAGCTGCAAAAAATACCCTAGTTTCGGATGTAAGAGATGCTATTTATCAGCTCCAAGATGTACAAACTAATGCCGGCAGCGCTTCTGATTTTCTTGATGATGATGTTGGAAGTGATGATGATGGAGGTGAAAGCATACTCTGAGGTAAGTGTTTTACTCTGTTCGTCGTTGTGTTTGATGGTGAAGATGTAAAAAATCCCACCACAAAAGGACACACTAATTCGAAGAATCGTAACTTCTGAATTCAACATTTTGGTAGTGATAATTGTTGCTGCCTTGTATAACCCCTAATTCTTTGATCCTGTAATGTAAAATAATCTAAGGTTATACTTTTAGATTTCTCTGTTTTATTTCAAAGAAATTGTCAGTCATTCTTCCAATGGTCCATTCTTTTCTAATGAAGTAATATCAATAATGCTAGGATTGTTATGCTTTAAATTGGATTCGTAATATGTAGTAAATACCAGAGGTCTAATCATACTTTATTTGCTCCTTGGTATACCTAATAAGCTATGCAGACCACAATGATGGACTGGATATTTGACTCTCCGATCTATATGAATTCTAAATTGTTGTAAAGAAGACGGGAATAATACTTGATTAAAGAGAGAGAAAATGACAGGAGCAGTAAAGATAGCAATGAATGTAGCAAAATTACAGTTAATGATGTACTGTAGAAAGATTTTGGATTTTTTATTTGTGCTTCTGTTGTTATTTCTTCTTCAAATTCCATGTGAAATTTCAAGGATTGAACAAGAGGTCTTATGAGAGCAGCTTATATTCTCATCATGAGATTCTCATGAACACCCATGGCATTTTTATGAATTTTGGCACAAAACTGATGAGATGATACCTAACCAGGAAACCTTTAGGATGGAGTGCAATACGCCCCTTAATAAGGCTGATTTTGTGCGATGGTCCATGGAAGCTAGAGTGCAACCTCCAAGTTCTTAAATGCAATACCTAATTTAGCGTCCAAAGATTGACCAACTACTTTTGTCCATTCTGTAATGCATTTTTCCAGTTTACGCAATTTATGCAGGAAGGCTAGGAACATAGGAAAGCAATTGAACAACCATCATAATTAGCTTTGGATCATCTGTGGACAGCAGGCTAGGTGAGAACAAAATGCCTGTGCATAGTGCCCTAAGTTCGGCTGCCCTTCACTTATTTCATGACTCCAAATTGTCAAAATATTCCAATCAGAATCTCACAAATAAGAGAGAAATTTCCAGCTGTAATTGCAAATCGTGCACAAATCATCGTAAATATGGCCTTCATGGTGGATGATGTTTACACATGAAAGAAGTGATGATGAAATAGAATTTATTTGGGACTTTAACTGTGGTTATTTTTTTAAAATGATTTTTTATAAAATATATTAAAATATTATTATTATTATTTTTTATAAATTATTTTTTATATCAGCTTATTAAAATAATTTAAAATATAAAAAATTTTAAATTTTTTTAAAACACAAATTAGCTTGTGTTTCTAAACCTCTTTAAAACAAAATCAATAATAACAATAGAAGAATTAAAAAGCAGCTAAATTCATTTTTTTCCATGAAATCACGTTCTCACTCAAGTAACAATAGAATTGCAACCGAAGTTAGCTGCATCTATAAGCAGACCACGAACAGTTCTTCCTAAAGAACTTCACAAAATATTATGGTGTCTCTAAGTTGAAACTAAGCCATTGGATATTGTTTTTTAAATGTGTTTCTAAAAAAAATTAATTTTTTTATTTTTTATTTTTTATTTTAAATTAATATTTTTTAATAATTTTACATCAGTTTAATATGCTAATATTAAAAATATTTTTTAAAATCATTAAACATAATTTTTTAAATAAAACATATTTTAAAAAATAATTATAATCACACACTTTCAAGTACACTTTCAAGTAGCAAGAAGAGTGCTCAATAAAGGATTTCAAAGAGCAATAATAAAAATGCAACTATGCTATATATAACTGGTAATATGGTTCATTTTCGACATCTATAATGTAAAATGAAGAGAAATCTTTTAAGTACACTTGGAAATTAAAAATCCAACCACTTCTGGTAGTAGACACAAGTCTTAGGAGAGATAATGCCATCAGGTGTACACTGACTTATCCGTGGACAAACTCCACACGGGATGGACGCTAATGCCCCTGCCTTTGGCTCCCCTCCAAGGCCTCCCTTGCTAACGTATTTATAGCAAACCTCTCCAAAAGGAATTGAAGCAAACTCACCCATTCCATTACTCTTCACCTCCATGATTACATTGTCCAAAATCAAAGTCCTCAGGATTTCTTCAATTTGCTGTTTTGTCACGTCAACATTGAAGGCTGGATAACTATTGATCGAGTCTGTAACTGCCTCCAAAGTGGCAACCCCACTCCTTTCTATTTGGCGTTTACATAACTGCTTCAGTGACTCAATAAACTCTGTATCAAGGCTCCCTTCAAGATACCATGCCCCTCCACTGATTTCCTTTGACGGTTCAAACTCTGTTGCCATGAAATGTTTCCTCCCCTTGTTTTGGATGTTCACCACTTCTTTTATCAATTTTTTTACCTGCAGAGCCTTGAGAGACTTATTTACCACATTATCCGGAAGCTTGGCTTCTTTTTTCATGTCTCTAGTCCAGATTCCAATATCTTGTTTGCTTCGGATCACATCATAGAGGAGACGCTCATGTTCATTAAGAGATTGAGCTGGAGAATTCACTTCTGGCCGTTTCCTCTTAAGGGATGAAGGTCCTTGTAAACGGCTCATTCCTCCTGAGAGAACATCAAAGATGAATATGTTATGTATGATATATCAGAACAGAAATAGTTTTTTTAACTGGATTTTAAAGCATGAAGCACTTGAAGTGCCAATTTTGTGTCAAGGTCAAAGATATGAAAGACATCATTTATCTTTGTACACAATGCTCGTTTTGGTGGCTGAGCAAGTGTTAAAACAAACTTGAAACTAAAACGATTACATCACTACCAGCAGCACGAGAAAAACAAAAGATTCACACCTCCTAAGAAGTAGTACAGCTCTTGAGCAGAATTTCAGATTTTATAAAAAGCCAAAACAGTCGAGACAAAAGATTATTTTCTGAGTCGGTATTCCTTCATATGTTTTGTAATGGATCAAACACTCAGAAAGCAATAAACAGAGAGACAGAAACAACCAAATCTTATGAGAGAGAGAAGGTATGGCAACTCTAATTGCAAAAGTATCTCATAAGATTTGTGCATTCACACTAAACTAGCAAAATAAATTTTAAGGTTTTAAAACTCAACATATTCATGTCATCAATGATATGACAAAGGGCCAATGATAGGGATGGTGCCATGATTTCGTAGATATTATTACTATATTTAGTTAAACTGTGACACAACTAGTCGTGCATCTTTCTTGATGGCTGGTAAAGGGACATTTGCAAATTATGTTACATATTGGCGGGAACCCAGTCAGAAGTCTTTTAATACCAGCAAAATCAGATACAATGTTCAGATTACAAAAGCTTCCTGCAATATGTCATTTTGCATGCAATCGACAAGAAACTCACATTGCTTCTCCACGCTACTTGAAAAAGCAAAAAAACCCACCAGGTTTCAACATTGCAGCGGCCATATTGTAAAGACGAAGAAGATAATCCATGCCACTAGTACGACCATCTAATGCGATTCTTGGTTCATGTCTACCATCTTCAGCTTTTAGTCCAGAAATAGTCACTTGGTGTGTATGGTGGATTTCTCACAATTCCTACAATTTGTCCTTCAACATCCTTTAAGGGCTCAAACCAAGATTCTTGCCTTAGTCAATCACATCCTGAAGGCCCATACCTTTGCACATTAAGGGTTGCCACCGACACTGCGACTGGGCTTAAATCTGTGGCAATAATCTCCCATAACTCCCCAAAATTTTTCTAATACCTACTGTAATAGCATCACTACCTGTACCCACATCTGTCAACAATCCCTGTCCCAATTTTTCATTGTTGGAAACCACATCACTTACTAGATCAACAATAAATTCTGTCTCTGACCTCAGAATCAAGACCCCTTCTTGCAAACTCAACACCAAGTCCCTCCAGTGCTCACACCCTACTATACACAGGAAAGGCCTCCTCTCTTCAATCCTCTTCTTCCACAATTTGTAAAGATCATCCAAACCTATCCATATAATGATATTCTCATTTTTACCACTAGTATCATATTTATACTTGGAAAAGGACAAGCACGAGAAGGAGTAGGAGCTGTTTTCAAGTGAGTCCTCAAGAAGCCAACTGAGCTCCTTACACAAGAGAGTGGAGTCAGGGCCATTATCCGACTCCACAAAAGACGACCCAGCAGAGGAGGCAAGGGTTTTTGCCCAACCATGCCATTTTGTAAAGTCTGATGAAGTAACTAAATATGTAGGTGGCTTCAAAACAAGGTTTTTTTTTTGGTTTTATTGTTGTTAAAGATGGCATTGAAGAGGATAAAATCAGTGTGCAACAGCAGCTATAAAGACATGCTCGGCTCAGGCCTAGCCTCAATGTAACCACCAGTCAAAAGTATATCCTGATAGATTAATATTATTGGTGCACATTTTGTTTCCTTAACCACGGGATTATTCATTTTCATCAGATATTTGTTTGTTCTCTACCAACCCCATTCAAGCTTTAAAATATGGACAAAAAACAGTCTACAAGGATCAAGATTGAAGCTTTGGATATGATGTTCCACCACACACAAGCTCCTGTGATTTTTAATATTTTACACCAAGTTTTATAAGCAAATTACTAAAGTCTAAGCCATTTATTTGTACTAATAAAAAATCACAGAAAACCTCAAACAAATAACAAATACCTAATAATAGGTACGTGGAGAAATCACATGCTCTGGCTAGTAACTCTGTCAATATTGCGAACCAGGAAGCACAGTAGCAGGAAAAGGAATTTAAACCAAAAGATCATTGTGAAACGATGACGTTTAATGACGCTCAAACGGCTCTTTAGTTACACGCACCATTTCAATAAATCCACTGCCAGCATCAGCCTTGCGTTTTTAATTTTGTTGTTTGTTACTGTTACAAGAGTCTCATGTGACTCAGATAATAGACTCTAGAATCTACCCACTCCTATAATTATGACATTGCATGTAACAGGAGGAATATAAAATATACAATGTAATTATCATGCTTCACTTCTGTTCTTTCTCTCTATCTCTCTTCCCCTTCTACCTTCCTCATTCCTCTATCATTCTTCATATTCTTATATTAATTGGAAAGGCCCCTACCGCCTTAACTCATCAATTGCTAATTGGTTCTCTCAAAGTTCATCTCGCAACAAGTGGTATTCAGACTTCAACCATGCCACCAAACACGAGGTCCCAAGATCTTATGAAGTTGGAAGATTCCCTTGAAGTTGCCAACAAGGAGCAATCAGTAAGATATGCAAAAGTTTTAACACAGCTGGAGACTTATGGACAATTATTACACACCACCAAAGCGACTGAAGATGATAAGATCGAGAAGCAGTCTACGCTACTACAGAGGATGCAGACCAGTACGATGGAAAGCAGTCCCATGAAGGATCACCAGGACCTTCCTCATGGAGATTCTACTTCGAAAATGGGCCATTTTGGCGAAGAAGGGCAACTTTCCTACAGTGTACATAAACCTCGAAGAGATTTTCCTTGTTTTGATGGGGAAGATGTTTACAAATAATTGTATAAATGCAACCAATATTTTAACATGAACAAAATTAAGGAAACAAAAAAGATTGTTTTTATCTAGATAGAATGGCTTTATACTGGCATCAAAACTTCACAAGGAGTCTCAGGGTTAAGGTGGTCACTTGGAAAGAATATACTGAAGCTTTGTGTGGTCGGTTTGGTGGTCAACAAGATCCCTTTGAGGAGCTGATGGAGCTTAGGCAGACTAGCAGCTTGGAGATGTATATTCAAGATTTTGATGTGCTTTGAAACAAGGTTGACATTAGTGAGAGATAGGCAATGGTGTTTTTTTTATTAGAGGATTAGAAATAGAAATCAAAAACCCTATTAAAATGTTCGATTCTAAAGCCTTCAGACAAGCTTATAATCTTGCTCAACTGCAAGATTATACCCTGTCTTACAAAAAATCACAACCTCAACCACACCAGACACTTCCCAAATACATTCCCCATGGCTTGCCTCCCTCTATTCCCTTCAAAGAAAACACTCTCATACCATATTCAAGATAAACAGCAACCCCAAACCTTAACACCTTCAGACAACCACAACAAACCACAACAAGACATATTACTCATCCCCATACAGAAACCAACCAGAACTATACGGCCTCGAGACCTGAAAGAAAGAAGGGCCAAATGACTATGCTTCTGGTGTGATGAGCAATTTGTACCAGGTCACCAATGCAAAAATAAGCAATTATATTCTCTATGTATACTCTACTCGAAGATGATGAGGATATTGTAAAGGCAGAGGGTGAAGCAGATGTTGTTGAGCAGGACTTAGATGTTGTTGAGCAAGACTTACTTACTCCTATATTTCTCTTAATGCTTTGAAGGGCACGATGGGTTGCCATACATTATGAGTAGTAGGGAAGGTTGACAAGCACCCTCTATACATCCTGATTGATTCTCGCAGCACCTATAACTTTCTCAATAATACGTTTGCCAATAAATTGCAATGTCTAGCCCACCCTATTAGAACCTTGGTGGTAGAAACAACAAATGGAGGTCCTATGCACTACTTAGCAATATGCAGGAATTTCAGCTGAAGAATATAGGGAGTAAATTTTTTTTACAGATGTATTCATTGTCGATTTAATCAACTGTGACATGGTGTTGGGTATCCAATGGCTAGCAACACTAGGTAATGTTACGTTTAACTACAAGAATCTCTAGATGTCCTTCAAGTGACACGGTCAAGATGTAGTACTCAAAGGCACTAACTGCACCAAGGTACAAACCACTGAGTTGGCACAACTTAACAATCTAATGGTTAGCTTGAATCACCTATCTAGTATGAGTCTATGTTGTTTCACGCTTATTGAAGACACAAACAGTGATGCAAGGCCTTTGTCACCATTAACCATAAGCACCCAAAAAGAACAAGTGGCTCTGGAAGAATTACTTAATTATTACAAGGAAGTATTCAAAGAAGCTGAAGGACTGCCTCCCATCAGAACTCATAACCACACTATTCCTATGAAAGAAGGTGCACAAGCAATCAACCTTAGACCTTACAAATATTCTAGAGTGCAAAAAGACATATTGGAAAAGATGGTGGAGGAAATGTTCGAGTCTAGGATCATCCAACAAAGCAGGAGCTTGTTTGCTTCCCCTGTTGTTTTGGTTAAGAAAAAGTATAGGTCCTAAAGACTCTGTGTTGATTATAGAGCTCTTGTTTTGGTTAAGAAAAAGTATAGGTCCTAAAGACTCTGTGTTGATTATAGAGCTCTTGTTTTGGTTAAGAAAAAGTATAGGTCCTAAAGACTCTGTGTTGATTATAGAGCTCTCAATCAACTAACCATTAAGGACAAGTTTCCAATACCTCTATTGGAGGAATTATTAGAAGAGTTGGTGGGTACCATAATATTTTCAAAGGTGGATTTACAATCTAGTTATCACCAGATTAGAATGACTCCCCATGATGTGTTCAAAAGAGCATTCCGAACTCACAATGGCCGCTATGAATTCTTGGTGATGCTATTTGGGCTAACCAATGCCATTGCTACCTTTCTGAGCTTGATTAATGAAGTATTCCATAAGCATATAAGGAAGTTTGTGATAATATTTTTTGACGACATTTTAATCTATAGTCAGTCAATGACTCAGCACCTGGAAAAGTTGCAAACCGTATTTGATTTACTTAAAGGGCACTAGTTGGTGGCTAAGCACAGCAACTATGCATTTGGTATCCCTCAGGTGGAACATTTAGGACATGTCATCTCTAAAGAGGGAGAAGCTATTGACCTTAAGAAAATTCAAGACATCACCGACTGGCCTGAACTCCAGAATGTTAAGCAACTACGGGGATTCTTAGATCTTATTGGCTACTACAGAAAGTTTGTCAAAAACTATGGAGCCATTAGCAAGCCACTCACCCATCTACTAAAAAAAGATGCATTTGCCTGAAAGGAAGATTCAACCAGAGCTTTCAGAAACTTAAAACAAACGATGACTCAACCCTCGGTTCTCTCCCTGCCTAACCTTAACATGTCTTTTGTGGTTGAAATAGACACCTCAAGGTCTGGTATAGGTACTATACTCATGCAGGAGGAGCTCCTTATCTCATTCATCAACTAATCATTAAAACCCAGGCAACAAGCATTATCAACCTATGAAAGGGAAATGTTGGCCATTCTACATGCAATTACCAAGTGGAGACACTACCTATAGGGAAAGCATTTCACAATCAGAACAGATCATGTGAGCCTCAAGTGCCTGCTGGCACAAAAGGTTTCTTTTCCCTCCCAACACATTTGGTTAGCCAAGCTTTTAGGCTTTGATTATGACATTGAATATAGAAAGGGAAAGGAAAATATTGCAGCTGATGTTCTATCTAGATGTACCATCAATGAGCTATTCACCTTTACATTGTTTATCATTTTGACCAACTTGTTAGACGAAATAAAGGCGTGCTAGGAGATAATGCTTTGTTAAAGGTCATCAGCAAGCTAAACATAAATACTAGTTTGCATCCACATTATACATGGTATAATGGTTGAATGGGCATCTGTACAAAAAAGGGAAGCTGGTGGTGGGCAATGATTTTAATTTACAGGGTAAACTAATCTCCATCTATTACGACTGTACCATAAAAGGACACTTTGGTGTTATTGTCACCACTAAACAGTTAGGGTCACCATTCTATTAGAGAAAACAACAAAAACATATGAGGACATATATGAGAGAGTGTCACACCTGTCAAAAAAATAAGAGCAAGAACATCCTAACACTTGGCTTGCTTCAACCTCTTCTTATACCCAAAGACACCCTTTGTGGAAATCAATATGGATTTCATTGAATAGTTACCCAACTCCAAAGGAAAGAATGTTGTTTTGGTTGTAGTAGATAGGTTCAGTAAGTATACACATTTCATTGCTCTATCCCACCCCTACACAGCTGCTTCGATGGCAGATGCTTTCATGAATAACATCTATAAACTACATGGCTTACCTGCTTTAATAGTAAGTGACAGACCCAGTGTTTGTAAGCAAATTCTGGAAAGATTTATTCCCCTACCAAGGCGTTCAATTGTTGCATTCAACAACCTATCATCCTTAAACAAATGGGTAGACAGAAGTGGTGAACCGGTGCTTAGAACAATATTTGAGGTGCATAACAAGCAAGACACCCGATCAATGGTCCAGACGGCTACCATTAGCCAAATGATAGTATAATACCAACTATCATTCGTCATTCAAGTCTACACCCTTTGAAGTTCTATATGGTCAAGATCCTCCAATCCACATTCCTTATCTGCCTAAGGATTCTAACATAGAAGTTGTTGACAAGCAATTAATAAAAAGGGAAGACAGGCTTAAAACTATCAAAGACAATCTCTAGTTCAACATCGCATGATCCAACTAGAAAACAAAAAGAGTAATGAACGCATCTTCAAGGTGGGAGACTGGGTCTACTTGAAATTACAACCCTACAGGTAACAAATAGTGAGCAGGAGGGGTTCACACAAGTTAGCAGCCAAGTACTATGATCCTTACCAAGTAATTGAGTGCATAAGGGCGGTGGCACACAAACCTAGCCTTGCCGGTTCAAGCCTTATACACCGAGTGTTTCATGTTTTCCAATTGAAGCAACATGCAAGGAATAAGATAGTGTATGACAACTTACTAGCCCAAAACCTAGACCCGGAGTTGCAGCCCCAAGCCATTCTTGATACGAGAGAATGGTCAAGCACCAAAATCACGCAGCAACACAAGTCTTAGTTAATTGGAAGACCTTATCACATTCAAAGCCACATAGGAATTTGCTGATGACCTTCTGATGAGGCACCCACAGTTCTCCCTTGAGGTCAAGAAAATTTTTAAAAGGGGAAGGTATTATTGTGAACCAGGAAGCACAGTAATGGGAAAAGGAATTTAAACCAAAAGATCATTGATGAAACGATGGCATTTCAATAACGCTCAAACAGCTCTTTAGTTACACGCACCATTTAAATAAATTCATTGCCAGCATCAGCCTTGTGTTACAAGAGTCTCGTGTGCCTCAAATAACAGACTCTAGAATCTACCCACTCCTATAAATACAACACTGCATGTAACAGAAGGAATATGAAATATACAATACAATTATCATGCTTCTCTCTTGCTCTATCTCTCCTCCCCTTCTGCCTTCCTCATTCCTCTATCATTCTTCATATTTTTATGTTAATTGGAAAGGCCACTGCCATATTAACTCATCAATTGGATTCTTTGCTAATTGGTTCTCTCAGAATTCATCTCGCAACAGTAAATACTGGGGTACATTCTTCTTCTCAACAACAAAGGGTTTTAGCTTGGGCTTTTTCAGGGGTAACCACAGTGCACAAAACCAAAATAAAATCAAATCACGGATTTAATTTCTTTAAATTATAGATATAATTTCACCACAGGGTTTTAACTATTCCACCTTAATAAATATTTTATATAAAGATGTTAAATTAGTCTACTGTAAATCCTAGATTTAATTTCTTTAAATTAAAGGTATTAAATGTTTAAATAAAAATTTAAAAAACAACCATTATTCATCTACTGCAAATCGCGGAATTAATTTCTTCATGTTGCTCTCTTCTTAAGCAATCAAGTTAACTTGTTTTTTCTCTTCATTTAGGTTGCCTAAACACAAGTCTGTAAAATTAAAAAGTTAAAAATCAGCATGTAAAAATAAAATAAAATAAAATAAGAAACATACCGAGGAGAGACTGCCGCTGCAAGCGGGGAAGTGCTGGAGATGGAAGATGAGGCGAGGGGATGGTAGAAGGGAGAGGAGAGGTCGCTGTTTTAGGGCTTGTGTGGCTGCGTTTGGGTTTTCACCGAGTGCAGAGAGGGCAGAGACCAGAGATGGTGGGTGGAAACTTGACACAGCAGGAGATTTTGAGGGGAGAACGATGGAGCAGGGGAGGGTTACTCTAAAAAAAAATTTAATACCGTGTACTTGTTTTTATACCGGTACAGTTCGGTCCATCATGACATTTTGGTGCTGTTGTTCAAAGAATCGTGGACGTTTCATGATCCGTGCCACATGGCGTCTGACCAGTCCCCAAAATATGTATCTGCTGCTCAAGTGCTCTAACATAACATTTTCTGATAAATATTTTATGTTGCAGATTCAATCTGGTATTTGGTCCCATAAACCCGCCTTCTTATGCTGTTACTCCTCCTTCAAATCCCGAGGGTAGAACAAGTCTTGTCAGAGCAGCTTATATTCTCAAGTGATGGGAAGAAAAGGCTATGCATTCTTTGATGTCAAGTCGTGAGATGCTCTTGAACACGTGGGCCTACGGCATCTTGACTTATTGACACAAACAGGCCGTCAGTAAATAAGATGGACTCTGGGCTTTTGACGAACCTTTAAGGTTGGAAAGGCCCAGCCCATCTCTGATGATCCTCGAATGAGCATCCTGACGCCAGAGTGGGGCCGTTAATTAATTTTGTAATTAAGCTGAAGAGCATAATGGAATGGACTTGCACTCTCCAGTATTTTTAAGCAGTCATTTTCATTAACATAATCATTAACATAACTTGATAAGGATGAGAAATAGTTTAAGATTTTAAATTTATTTTTAAAAAATTATTATTTTTATCATTATAAATTTTAAAGTTATTAAATTTATATAATTATTAATTTAAAAATATATAAAATTAATTAAAGTGAATACAAGCTAACCGAATATTTATATTAATAATAAAAAATAAATATTTATTAACACGATGATGACCCTGCATGCTCGATGGATGGATTGAAGAGTGATGAATATATATATGAAAACAAACAGATAATTTAAATTAGGAGGTTGGGTGCACCGTCCCCGTGTATTGTATATTTCTTCTAGTTACATCATCCAGCACCTAACTACTTTATTTTAATTACTTTATACTTGCTCTTAATTTGTCTATTTTATGGCTTAGAGTTAATCGAATCAAAATGGACGTCCATCGTGCAAGCACTCACCAAGTTTCCTCTTCTTATTTTTAAAATCAATTAATCTCCTTATTTATTAGAACAAGAACAAAACAAGGTTCTATTGTAAGGTAGTCTCCCCCCACTCTTTTATTATTACATGTAAGTTATATCGAATATATATTAATTAAACAAAACAATTATTAGAATAAAACTTTTTTTTCTATAAATAAACAGATATAATAATAGAACTGCTCTGTCTGGTTATTCAACATCAAATTATGATTATTATATGAAAATAATTTAATCAAGGCTTGAGCAATTTGTTTAAGCTTTGCAATTTTTGCTGATCACGTTCTTTGCCTCCACCTTTCTTTCGATCTCCTTTCTTTTTGTAGCAAGCCTTGGATGCTTCTCTGATCACCCTGCAAACTAGCTCCTTAATTAGTTAACCAACTCTGCTGATCCATCCATCCATCTATCATATTATAGTCGTCATCGTCGTCTTCTTCTTCTTATGACCCATAGGATCAATTCATGATATTGTCTTAATTTCTCAACTACATACGTAACAACATGGGTTTGGTCAAAGGAGTGGCGCTGTCTACAAGGCAAAGGCAACGACCTCTTGGTCTAGCCTTGTGCTGCCTATATATTCTTCAACTACTGCTGCTGTTGCTGAGTTCTGTAAGTGGTATTGGAGTCAACTGGGGAACTCAGGCAACACATCCTCTGCCGCCTTCCACGGTGGTTAGCATGCTCAGAGACAACGGTTTTCAGAAGGTTAAGCTATTCGATGCTGATTCAGCTACTCTAAATGCTTTCGCTAATTCTGGGATTCAAATCATGGTGGGCATCCCCAATGATATGCTCTATACTCTGGCTAATAGTGAACAAGCTGCTGAGAATTGGGTGGCCAAGAATGTCTCTTCCCATATCTCTTCTGGTGGCGTAGACATCAGGTAATCCATCAAACCCTTCCTTTCCCCTCCCTTTTAATTTTTCTTCCTTTGACTTGGATTTATTTGCCGATCAATATATTTTGACTTGATTTACACAAGCCAAGTATGTGTCGAGTAAGAAGAAACAAGTGATCATGACTATGACCAAATCATCCCATATCAGCTTGCTTTGGCTCTGCTTATGTGGTGTTTATGTTGCACTATATGTGGAGCATTTCCTGTATTGGGGTATTTATTCGCCAGTAACTTTGAGCCATTTATAAGGTACGTTGCAGTTGGAAACGAGCCGTTCTTGTCAGCATACAATGGAAGCTTTCTGGGAATAACTCTTCCTGCTCTTCAAAATATCCAATCAGCTTTAACGAAAGCCGGACTAGACACTCGGGTGAAAGTCACCGTTCCCCTCAATGCTGATGTATATGAGAGTCCCACAAATCTGCCATCCGATGGTAACTTCCGCTCAGACATCCAAGATCTCATGCTGTCGATTGTCAAGTTCTTGAGCGACAATGGGGCTCCCTTCACTGTCAATATCTATCCTTTTATAAGCCTTTACACTAATCCTAATTTCCCCCTAGGCTTTGCATTCTTCAACAACCGTAGTTCGTCTTCCTTGAATGATGGTGGAAAAATCTACGACAATGTGTTCGATGCGAATCATGACACCCTTGTATGGGCCTTGCAGAAAAATGGATATGGAAACTTGTCCATTGTCATTGGGGAGATTGGATGGCCTACCGATGGAGACAAAAATGCAAACTTGAACTATGCACAGCAGTTCAACCAAGGGTTTATGAATAATGTCAATGCTGGTAAGGGAACCCCCATGCGTCCTGCTCCTGTGGATGCCTACTTGTTTAGTCTCGTCGACGAGGATGCCAAAAGCATTCAGCCTGGTAATTTTGAGCGACACTGGGGATTATTTTACTTGGATGGACAGCCTAAGTATGCACTTAGCCTGGGGACGACGAATTCAAATGGTCTGGTACCAGCAAGGGGTGTGAGCTATTTAGCTCAGAAATGGTGTATTATGTCTCCATCAGCAAGCCTTGACGATCCGCAGGTGGCACCAAGTGTGAGTTATGCTTGTGCTAGTGCAGACTGTACTAGTCTGGGCTATGGGACTTCTTGTGGAGATTTAAGTGCACAGGGCAACATCTCCTACGCATTTAACAGTTACTACCAGCAGAACAATCAGCTTGAAAGTGCTTGTAGGTTCCCAAATAATCTTTCGGTTGTTACAAGCAATGACCCATCCACCGGGACTTGCAAATTTAGGATCATGATTCAAAGTCAAACAGTCACATCTGGTGTTGAAGGTGGAAGAGGGTTTTCAATGTCTAGTTTTGTAACGTTTGCCGTCGCGTTTCTTTCAGCGTTTTTGTGATTTTTGGGGACTGATTGTATTGGACTGTTACTTGTATTTCCTTGATTGGTATGTATAGAAGGAGCTAAATTGAGAATTTGAGTCTGGAACTTTTAAGTCATTAAGCACGAGAACTAAACAATTGGAACACAACAGGATAATTCTCAACTGGTCTCATGCTGCTGTTCGAAATAGTCACGCATCCAAACATGAATGAAGATAGCCTGCAAATGCCTACCAAACTCTGAATCAGCTCCTACATGAATAATAAGTCCTCTGTGTTTGTGAAAATGAAAGATCACTTCTGAAAATCAAATTTTAAATATTACTCGCATTCTTATGTTGAAAAGAAGCAGTGGCTGGAATGTCAATCGAACAGCCACCCCTGTTAAAGACTTTTAGGACAATAATAACAATAATAATAATAATTAAGTAAAAAACTAAAAAGCGGTGTTTAAAGTATGCTCTCTCTTGTATTTATAAAAAAAATCATTTAATTTTTAAATATTTTTTTGAGCGATTGCTTCCTCTCTTTTTTTTTTTGCCCAAATTTAAAGACAATTAAATCAAATTATTAGATAAAGATAAAACTGAAATACAGGGATTAAAGTAGAAAAAATACCACAAATAGGTGATGGTTTTAAAGTTCATACAAAAAGTTTAATTTAGTCTTTCTACTTTAAATATTACACATATTCAGCACATCAATATTTTTTCAATTCAATTTTGGTATAAAAATTTTATTTTTTTATTTTTTTAGTCTTAGATTTGAAAAATGAAAGATAAAGTTTACTGAATTTTAGCGGTAAAAAGAAACAAATATCATTGATACCGATTTAAACCATCAAAACGATTGATATTTGTGTTAAATAATTGTATTTGATTATGAGAGTTCATGTTAGGTGTTTTTTTAACTTTAAAGTTTGTAAAAAAAAACAAATAAGAGTTTAGGTAGATTTTTTATTTCAGGTTGATTTTGACTTTTACAATGGTTTTTTTTAGTTTTTTAGGTCATGAATATGTTTGATTAAATAAAATATTTATTTTAATAAACAAATTTAACAAACACAACTAGGTAAATATCTCGTTTTGTGAGATAACATATCTTAATCTACATTTATCTCTCAATTTTTTCAATTTTTATTTTTAGTTATTGCTTATGACTTTTTTTCATTTATTAACACATATAGTTGTCGATTTATTTTATTACATGTATGCATGAATTTTTTTTATTTTCTACAAATACATGTTAAAAAAGCTTGTGTATATAATTGTTTTTGTTGAAAAAAAATAGCCCACAACAAAGAATGGGTTACATAACTAGTAAGCAAATCTAAAAGATGTGATCAAAATACTTAGCACATGTTCATTATTTATTCTTTCACATTTTACTGATTATTTACTCTTTCACATTTTACTGTAGATTTGCTATTCAATTTTTTTCAATTTAGTCCTTACCTTTTGGTGTCAAATTAAAGGACAATTAAATCAAATTTGTTGATTAAGGATAAAATTGAAAGAAAGGGATCAAAGTACAAAATACATTATAAATAGGTGATGGTTTCAAAGTTCACACAAAAGTTTACAAACTATACATATTCAGTCCCTCAACAATTTTTCAATTCGATTTTGGTATAAAAATTTATTTTTGTTATTTCTTATGTTCCTAATTTAAGAGAAAAGAGAGAAAGAGAGGTTGTCATATTTTGGCACTAAAGAGAGAAAAATAGTGTTGGCATCAATTTTGACCATCAAAATAATCGATCTTGGTGTTAAAGATTTTTATTTGATGAGAAGAGTTCCACTTAAGTGTGTTTTGTGCTTTGAAATTGCTTTTAAAAAAATCAAATATGAGCTTGAAAAAAGTTTTAATTTCGGTTTGATTTTGATTTTTAGTGTGGTTTTTCTTTGTAAGGTCATTTAATGAGTCTTAGAATTAAAAATAAAACATAGAACCAGTTTTTTCAACCACTAAATTAGCTGGAATCTAGACAAATGACACATTGTCGGGCTTTTTTTCTCAAAAAAATAGGACGGACGACTTATCATCTACTATCAGTACCTTAAAAAAAATATTAAGGCTGAGCACAAGCCCTTGCTAAACAAGTCAGGCACTGAGCTGGCTTTTATTTATTCTAATTCATCTATATATTTATTTTAATTTTTTATATAATTGAATTTTATTTTTAAAAATATTCTAATAATAAAAAAAAACTTTATTTTTTTCTTTGATTTTATTCAATCAATTATATATATATATATATATATATATATATATATGCTATCATTTTATAAAATAAAAAAATATTTTTAATAAACAAAATCAAGAAATACAATTAAATTAATAGGCTTTGCAAAATTAAATATCTTGATTCACAACCATTATAGATACATATTTAATTTTTATTAGTGTTTTTTTATTATTTATTGACATAAATAATTTTTGATTTATTTAATTTAATGCATGTATAAGTTTTTAAATTTATATTTGATATTTTTTATATAAAAAAACATTGAAAAAGCATATGTATTTAATTTTTTTATTGGAAAAAAAGCATACAACCCGAAGAGTAAAGTGGAAAGACTAACCTAGGACTTCGTTAATTTCCCTGAGATATATATATTGCTGTAGCAAATAGGAGAAAATTGTCTAAACCGAATGGTCAAGAGTGTTTGTCTCATCAAACACTAACAACAAGAAAACAAAAATTAGTGCAGCATTGCATCTCAAAATTGCCACCATCCAAACCCGCAGCCTATAGCCTACAAATTCCTCTCCAAAAACTGTCAATTCCTCCGTGCATTTTCCCCAAATAAACAATTCTTATAACATTAATGAACTCAAAATAACATGGTCCTGGGATTTATTAGTCAACTACAAGCCAATGAGGTAATGTTGAAATAATCAGCCATATCAATCTTATCCAAAGATTTTGTTAACTTACAGTTCCTTCGGGTTTTGTTTAAATACAAAATGCTGCCCCAACCTTCAATCTAAAAAGTCCAAGTTTAGGAACTGATGCAACGAGATTTTCACTCAGTGGAGTATTCCATCTCTTAATATCCCTTTATGGTATACCCAATAGCTGGAAGAAGCAAGAACATCAGTATCCTGGTGGGCAACACTGAGCCAGAGGTGCCATTGAGACAAATAGAAGTCTCAGAGTGTCACATACAAGTGCTGAAAAAAATGTGCGCGGAAAACATATTTCCAAATTATCTCTGGCTTCTCAAACATAAATTTTTCC